AGCCACACACACACACACACACACACACACACAACCTGAGGGCATTAACCCGCTCCCTGCCACAGCCCAGCCACACCCCGCCCAGCCTGGGGCATTAACCCTCTTCTTGCCACAGCCCAGCCAGGGCACTGCCTGCACCCCCCTCTCACCAGAACCAGAGACATTAACACTTTCCCTGCCAAATCCCCCCCAAAACCAGGAATATGAACCCACTCCCTGACTGAGCCCATTGCCATCCCTTTCCCCTGTGAGGGGCTTTCCCCAGCCATCGCCCCTGCCCTCCCCACCATGAGGGACCCCAGCCCTGAGCAGTCTCCAGCGCCCACGGCCCAGGCAACGCTGGCAGGGGCCGTGGAAGGGTGGCCTGGGGTGGTGGGCCTGCCCACCCTGCTAGGGGCCCAGTGCCATGCAGGGCAGGGTCAGGGCACATGTAAAACAAAGGAGGGCTGGCACGGGCCCATGTGCCCGATTCCTTGTGACATTCAAAAGAAAGGAAGAAACAAGCAAGGTTTTTCTCAGGGAAGGGGGCAGCAGGACACATCCATGCACCACCTTCACCAGGGGTGATGGAGGTCAAGCTTTTTTGGCTGGTGCTCCCATCCCCTTCCCCTTCAAGTGCCACCCCGTCCCCATCCCCTGTCTGATCTGCTGCTTGCGGCTCCCTCCCGTGCCCTGCCCCAGCTGGGCAGCACCTCTTGGCGCCCTGCCACTAAAGGGCCCAGGGCAGCCGCCCCGCTCATCCCCCCTTACTACGGCACTGGCAGTCGGTGCAATAAAAGAGACTGCACAAAAGCCTTGCAGTCAATCGCAAAATAGGTCTAAAACCCAAACAGAGCCTCAAAAGTTCACGCTGTGCACTCAGGGCTGCCCGCCCAAGTGACTCCAGCAGCAGCTGCTATTTCATTTGGTCTCCCCTTGCCAGGGCTGTGTACAGAGGAGCGCTGGCCTTTGGCAAGGAGCCAGGTGCCCAGTGACTGAACTTCAATTACAGAGATGGGAAACTAAAGCAAGAGCCTTCTTCTGTTAACCAGCGGTGTCACGCCGGTTTACGGAAGGACAGGTCTAAGCCTGCAATGCTCAGCCAGACTGTGTGCGCAAGAGCAGCTGGACAGTACTGGGACCCTACTGTCCTGTCCTGTATGCACATGGACTGGGACCACACTGTCCTTCCCTGTATACATACCTGTTTGCTTTTGGGTTCACTCAGTAAAACAAATAGGATTCTTGCTGGCTACAGTACAGATCCATTGCTGGGATCAGAGGTTAGACCTACATACAGCTCAGGAGAGCTTTCCAGGCACCTGCATGTTGTTATCGTTTAATACTGTGACATGGTCCTTTTAAAAGACAAACACATTTAGGACGTGTTTCTCCTTAAGCACTGGAAGGGTAAACTCAGTCTACACCTTCAGGCCAAAAATGAAACCTTCAAGCTTTGTCTGGCCTTATGAATATGCTCAGTTTGCAGGTCCCTGACACACTGTTCCTCTACTCTGTTACTGTAGGGTCTGGAAAAGGATGAAGATAAAACAGATGTGGGAGACACATAGTCATGCAGAGCTGGGAATTGGGGCCTGGAGGTTCTAATCAAGGCTGTAATATTGACTTGCTGTGTGACCTTGGGCAGATCTCTCCATCTCTGTACCACACTGTAACAGGGTAATAATATGTACAGACCTCAAAGGATATTATGAGGATCAGTTAATGCTTTCAGAGGCTCACATGAAAAACATGGTACTGTTTACTACTATTGTTATTATTAAGCTAACACTGAATTCTCAATGGAGCTCCAGAGGAGGACATGACGCATAAACAGCCCATACAAAGGCAACTGTATGTGAACAGTGCCCCAGGAGTTATAAAAAATATTACATTAATAATGGTTCCTTTGCTGTAGTGGGATTTTCCTCCCCTTAATTATAGTTGCTGATATTTTTTTTTAAATTGAATAAGTGTTTTCAACTAGCAAACAGAACTGATATTTTCCAGAGAACACGTAGGAATGACAGGCTCAAAGTTAGCATATCAAAAAAAATCATTAAAAAAAATTACGATTTACATCTTCCCCAATGGGAAGCTGAAAGCTAGAATTTATAGAAATCTTGAGTTCCTTGTGCAAAAAGCTGACTCTTCTTTGCCTGACACTTTGTAAGGGGTGGAAGCCAAGTGAGTGTAAAACGCTGCACTATGTGCAAGAGGAAAGTCAAGCTGTCTGAGGACATTCTGACACTACTTCTAACTGGGCTGAGGAGCACTGCTGTAAAGCGTGCCTCATCCACTTGCTCCCCAACCCTGCACAAAAATACATGACTTAGCTACAACTTGAGTGCAGCTGGACATGCACCAGTAAGTATGCCCAGATTTCCTGTTTAGTGTGACAGTTATACCAGCATAAAGGTGATTGAACTGGTGGAATTCATTCCTGTGCAATACCTGTATTGCTTTCAGGGCTGCTTTAACTCTGATACAGTCTCTTGGTGCAGAGGAAAATCCCCATGAGAAGGATGCCAGGAAACACCTAAGCCATGGGAGGTGTAATTCCAGTGGGGGAATAGGAATTCTAGGAACAAGGGCATGCCTCAGTACAGAGGCCCAGGCTCTTCTCAAGGATGCTCCTGGGGTTTTCCTGGCAATAGAACTTGTAGCTTTTCATGCAATCTCTCCCCCTTAGGGGAATGGTTTGGTGAAAGCTTCTGGGGTAGTCCTCCCTCCCCAGCTTGCCCACAGAAAGGAGTAAGCCATTCTCTAACTGTTTAGTTAAATGGCTTCCAAAGCACTTTGCAAGGATAACAACCTGCCTCTCCCAGAAAGGAAGAAAGACTAAGACCAGTTTCATTATGGCCAGTCTCCCCTAGAGGCAGCCTAGCTTGTTACTGTAGGGTTGGTCAGTCTTTATTCCCATTCATAAGTTCTTCATTAAAAAAACCCAAAGCTATCAATATGTTTGTTTTAAACATAAACTGTTTCCAGGAGTGGCAGGGGAAACGGTGCTGAAGTCAACAGGGTTTTGCCCGCTAACATCAAAGTGGAAATTGGCCTATGAAGTATAAGTATTACATGGATTTTCTTTAAGGAGATTTAGAGAACTTGGATAAATTACAAGAAAAAGAAAATTAAGTAAATAAGTAAAATTTAGGTTAGTCTTTTATAAAGTCACAGGAAATCACTTGATTAAATGAATGAATATCTATTTATTGTACAACCAAAGGGCCTCTTTGAAATT